TTAGGGTTATGCAAGTAGCAGCCACCCTGTGGTCTGGAAACTTTTAGTTCTGCCAACTGTTTTCTCTTTTCCTGAGAAAGACAGCCAATCGGAAGAGGCAGGGGCAGAGCGTCTTTCGAAAATTTAAAAAGTAATGACTTGTGCCATCAGGGGAAGGGCTTTTCCCAATGAATGGCTGTGTTTGTGATGTAAAGATGCTCTGGGCACTCCTTACTGACTGTATAACACGCACAGCAAGCCCGACTCAAAGCCGCTGCAGGGCAAACAGATCACATATGTCAGATGGAAACACCAACAAACCTTAGTTAGAGAACCCAAGCCCCCTTAGCCCTGATTTTGAGTACACACCTTACAGTTATTCTGCTGCCATCCTTCATCAACTCCACTCAGACCTTAGGCTGGTATTTACCATTCTCTCTGTTCTTTGCAATCTGCGTGCAAGCACAGGCTGAAGAAATCCTCAGGAAACTCACAGTTAATTAAAACGGGCAAGATTAGAGCCAGAGTTCTAGCCTGTCTCAAATCAGCTGATAGAAAATATTATATTGGGGCAAAGGATTGAGAAAAGTTTACCAAATTGGAAAAGTAGAAATTTAAATTTATTTGGGGCTTTTAGAAAAAACAAAACAAAACTTTTTTCTTCCTCCATTTCTTGTTTGTACTGGAGATGAAGCCCAGGGCCTTTCACTCACTAGGCAAATACCCTGCTAGTGAGCTACTGACCCAGTCCAGACAAACTTTAATACCATGATCCAGGCTATCATCATTATTACAAAAGAAACATCCCTCTCAGTCTAGAAGTTCCCAATACTAAGTCATAAATATTTCCTATCACTAGGTAGGCTCTGTTTTTAGGTGGGATTATGGAGTCCTTTTGAAGTTCTCATGAAATTAAATTTTAATGAAATGAAAGAAAATAATAACTGGAAGGCCACAGGTTAGGAGAAGACAACACTATGAAAAGGAGAATGGCCTTTCCCTTCCAATCAATCAGTCTATCAAATTAGCATGCAGCAGGCAAATGATGAGGAGAACAAAACTTTCTCGAGAGAATGTGTGTCGGGACGAGTCACAGCAGCTCCTGAGAGCCCAATGAATGTACACTCTCAAGCTGGTTATGTGGCACAAATAATATTAAAAATTACAGGACATATTTAATGTGCTTTATTTAAGCACACACATAAGAGCAGTGACATGCACAGCTCAAGGCAAAGGCATTTGGAACACTCTGCTGTCCAAGTCAACGACATTTCACATTTTACCTTGGCTACTGGGGGCATTTATGTTCACTGAACTTGAACGGGAGCAACAGACTATAGTTCAGCTCTTCTCAACTTGGTAAGAATATTTCCACCACAAAGACTGGCAAATGCCATAAGTTGGTGCTCTGTCCCAGAAGACAGGCTGTGAAACCTCAGCCAGCACAGCATGGTATAATAGCAATGGCCATCTGCATCTTCAGGATGCTCAGGCTGCTGCGAGACCATGTGGTAGAGATCAGATGCCAGAAACCTCAGATGTGCACAGCCATGTCCACGCCTCAGCTTACTAAAATTGAACGATTAAAAAAAATATCTTTCAAACAGTGATAATAACTCCTGCCAAGACGGTGTCAGCATGTTGGGCACAGAGCAAGGTAGAGGCCCTTGCAACATCAGGCAAATGTGTCTTATGGCACTCGACCCAGGCAACCTCACTCCCATGTCAAAGCCTCTGTCGTTTATGCAAGATCGGTCAGGATTTCTTGTTCACCAGCAAAACAGAGCATGTGTCATTCTCACGAGCCCGGCCATTCTGTTTAGTTGGTAAGTTTCTCCTCACTTCTCTTCCTTCTCTGTACTATTCTCACTTCCCTCCCTTGGAAGGGAGAGGAATACAGAGGAGCCCAACACATAAGGCTGTATCCAGGGAACCAAATATTTTCCCCTGCGGCCTACATGGGCCCCTTTCTGACACTTGTTCCCCTGACACTTGTTCTGAAGTGGGAGGAGGGTGGGAGGTATAGGGTATGAGGCTGGCCGTTTGGGGGCGGGGAAGGTGGAAGTGTCCTTCTGGGAAGCTGGCAAGGCATGCTGCAAGCTCTCTGCGATCACTCAGCTGTGTAATTCAGAGTTCCGACCGCACTCTGGACAGGTGAAAAACAGAAGCTAGGGTTTGCTTTAGCCATTTAGGACAGAGCAGGGGGAGGAGCAGTTCCTTAGGAGCCATACAGGTCTGGGATGTCTGACCCTGGTCTGGGGCAGCCTGGCTGGTGATGTTAGGCTAGACATATCTACTTCATTCTGAGGATCCACTGCAAGAAGGACAATTTTGCTCAAAACAGTGGTTCTCAACCTTTGGGTTGAGACCCCTTTGGGGGTTGAATGACCCTTTTACAGGGGTCACATATTAGATTTTCACATTACAAGTCATAACTTGCAAGATTGAAGTTATGAAGTAGCAACAAAAATAATTTCATGGTTGGGGATCACTACAACATGAGGAACTGTATTAAAGGGTCATGGCGTTGGGAAGGTTGAGAACCGCTGGCTAAATGCATTGTAAGCATCTCCTAAGCAGTAGCTGAAGCAGCTGGTGTGGTGGATACTGTAATCCCAGCAGGACAGCTGTAAGTTTGAAGCCATCCTGTTTCACCCAGTGAGTTCCAGGGCAGCTAGGGCTACACAGTGAGACCTTGTTTCAAAACTTCAACAAAGCATGAAAGTCAGGAGCACAGGCTTGGAGTTAAAGCCCAGCTTTATTCTCTACTACCTATGTGATCTTAACATGGATTTCCTCCCTTCACTGAACCCGCCATTTTCCTCCCTTCACTGAACCTGCCATTTTTCACCAGCTATGGACTCCTTTAGAACAGACGCTTTCCATGGGCACAGGCTGGGTGAGAGGTGGGCCCCATGAGCCCCAGGAAAGAAAGAAGTAAGTAGGTCCTTGACATAAACTTCTAAAGCTACTTTTCCCCCTTCTCTTAACCCTCCCCCTCTCCTCGCTTCTCCTTCTTGAGACAGGGTCCAGGTTGAACTGGAACTTGCTATATAGACTGAACTGACCTCTAATTCACAGAGATCTGCCTACATCTGTCCCTCAAGTATTGAGATTAAAGGCATGGGACACTACCTCGCTCCTTTTCTCTTTTTAAGACAGAGTCTCAGGCTGGCCTTCAAGTCTCTCTAGCCTTTAATTTTCCCTGTTTCCTCCTTCCAAGTGCTATAGTACAGGCATGTGCCTCCAAACCTGTTGTTTTGTTTTTGTTTTCATTTTGAGACAGTATCTCAAGGTGTAATCCGAGTCAAATGCTTTCACTACTATTTCCTCTTTTGAACTTTATGAGTCATAATTCCACTTTTTAAGTGAAGTCACTTCAATGTGACTTTTCTTTATGGTTCTATAGTTAGTCAGTGTCAAGACGCCTGTCTCGGGGGTGTATCGATGGGGGTGAGGCGGAGGGAGAATGAGGGTACTCTTTCTGTACATCCAACAGTCTTGCTATAAAATTCTCCAAAAAAGTAAAGTTCTTTCTATGCAACTGAAACCAATTTTTCTTTATTATAAGAACTTGGAAGTAAATAAAAATATCACACACTAAAATTAACCAATGACTACCCAACTTAATGAACTTATCTACAGCTAGATTTAGCATTCAAGATGGACGCTGTGAAGCCTCACATTAAATTCGACACTTTCGGCACTGAATATATTTCGTGTACTTATCCACCACTAAAATCAAAACAACACTCGACAGAGTCAGAAACTAGAAACACATGTAGCTTTATATAGAGAGCTCATGTCCGATACCTGAATTCACTGTTTCCTCCTGACTGAGTAGAATTTAAAAGTGTAATAACTAATGGAAAGCCGTTGAGGTTGCACACATGTGTAATCTTGGCTCAGCTGGAGGCAGGAGGAACACACGTTTGGAGCCAGCCTGGGCTGCACAGTGAGACTCACTTAAAGAGCGAGAGCCAGGAGTGAATGTAGGTCTTGCCTAGGAGCCTTTCAGCAATCAGCAGTGGCCTGTCAGGGTGAATCTGGCTGACTCTGTAGTTCATCCCTTTAGGACACTAAAGTGAATGGGAAATAAAGGCACCAAAGAGGTTTACAACAGCCCCTGGGGCAGGTAGGAGGAGCCCTGGCAAGCAAATGGGAGCTCGAAAGAAGTCTACCAGAAGCGATTTGTTTACCTTTTTCATTTTTATTATTAATATCAATCATTATTGCATGTGAGTGTGTGCACACATGTACTTCCGCTTGCACACAAGCACACGGAAGTCAGAGGACAGTTTTTGGAACCGGGTTCTTCCCTATTGTGTGGGTCATGAGCATAGAGCACAGGTTGTCCAGCGAGGCAGCAAGTCCCTTTACTCACCAGCCTTGAACTGACTTGTTTAAGGAAACAGGTGTTCTCACCGTGTAGACTGGGCCAAGAGCAGCACAGAAGCCAGGACTGGGAACGGGTGAGCCACGCTGCTCCTGCAGCCCGTGAATGTTCTAGGGGGGAGTCATTTATCTACAGAGTTCCCTGTCTTGTTCAGTTGCAGCCTTTTTCTCTTTGTGTTCCAGGAATTTTGAGTTCTGCTACAGAAAATTCCTGCTGCAGACACACAATCTTAATAGTCATCTATTAAGATTGCATCTGGGACAATAGGGATGCTTTTCTTCTTTAGTTGAATATGATGCTGCTCTATCAATTCTTTTTTTTTTTCTGATTATGAGAATACCTGATTCCCATGCAACCGGGAACATGGTGCATTCTGCCTGCTTTCTGCACTGCTTCCTCCCCTCCCCCCTTTCTAGTGAGTAGACCTACTTAGAGCCAGGGCCTTCTCTTGGGTCTAACACAAATGATCACATACTTGATTGGGCATGGATAACAGACAACTGAATCTCATGCCACAGATGAAGGGATCAGAAATTATCTATATGCAACTTGTGGGTCACGAGGTAAGCCATTTTAAGTAACTTCCTCACTTTCCAGGCTGGGATAGGCACAAGAAGAACAACAACAAAAAGGGCCTATTACATCTGTGTCCAAAGCCTGAGACGAAGGAAATGTTCTAGAATGTGGTGGCTCTCACTCTACGGGTGCTGGGCTAGACTCACGTGTAACAGACTCGTGCTCAGGTTCCAGAGGAAGACAAGAGAATAGGCTGGCTCTCCATTCTCTTCAGCTGCAGGCTGTTGCAACCTTGGGCATTTGATTAAGGTTTTGAGCTCTAGCCTCGGAGTTTGTGAAAGGGGAGTAAGCTGTCACCTATCGCCATTGGCACAGACCTCCTCATCTTATTCCTTATTCCTGCTTGTGATACGCATGGGAGAAAACAGTGGTGGGAAGCACTTTCAACGACTTGGAAAAAGATGTTGGGAAAGGCCTGGCTCCTTAAATGGCCATCAGAGGCTCACAGTCATCTACGAGCCCAGTAACTCTGATGTCATTCTTCTGCCAAGTCTCTTCGATCAGGTAGGCCTTGGGTTCAAGTCTCAGCCCCACTTCTCTGTGGACCGTGTGATAAACTCATCTTCATGTATTCACAAATAATAGCTGGCTCTTCTTATTTTCTAGAACTTCGTAATCATCAGGGAACTCAATGGTGACATTGCTCTCTAGTGAAGGAGGCAAGCAAACCAACCTGCAAGATGACTTCAGATGGGCAAGTAAGTACCACACAAACAGGATGCAGGGAGATGTGGGAGAGGTGTTGCTCTAGGCGGGGCAGGTGGGAAGGGGCTGCTTGAGGAGGCTGACGTGTAATCTGTGATGGTTATGCTTGGGAATCAGCTTTGGTAAGCCTGAGACAAGAACATTCTGGAAGGAGAGAACCAAGAAGTACAAAGGCCAAGACGAAACCTTGCTTAGTTCAAGACACTGTTGCAGAAGTTTTCTCTCCTCCCTTTTCTTTTTTACTTCACTACTGTGGTCAAGAAACTTGCTTCCCTGCCCCTCCCCCCTCCATCACTTCATCCTACAGACACTGTCTATGTCCCTAAGGCAGAATGATGCTCTGAAGAGCCTCAGACTACCAAGAGGTCTCAGTGTTTTCTTTACCCCTTAGGAAGCAATTTTCATTTTCTTGGGCCCTCAAGTTACCCACAGAGAATGACTGGCTTACAAAAATGATGGCAGAAAGCGCAGCTGGAGCATGATCAACCAGGAGTGGAGCAAATGTAATAGTCAATGAGAGGTTCCTCAGTGGTTCTCAAAGGGTGTTTCCTGGACCACCCATATGGTTAGAAATTCAGAGTGTGGGGCGGGGATGTACCTCAGTAGGTAGCCTGCAAGGTCATCCTTGACTACACACTGAGATAAAGCCCAGCCTGGGAAATAGGAGGCCCTGTCTCAAAACACACGTAGACACTCAGGGCGCACCTGCAGCCTGTCTCCACAAGGCTTCCTGCACGCTCCAACTCCAACCCACACTGCAGTTTGAAGCCACTGGGCTGGAAGGTTCACTGCGCCATGGGTCACGGAGATTGTGGGGCTTATGACAAACACAGGGCAAAGTCACTGGGGTCCCTGAAGTGTGGAGGAGGCAATCCAGAGACATTTACGTAAGCTGACTCTGGTTACTGTGAGATGAGAATGGCAGAGGGGCAACGACGGAAGAGGGAGAGAGAGAGAAGCAATCCAGGAAGTTTTCCAACTGGTCTTCATCTGCAGAATGGGAGGACAGCGCGCAAGCCGCGAAGAAGCACTGGATCGCGCTGGGTGATGTGTAATGTCTGTGAGGCGTCTCTCAGTAATGCGGGTCCTTAAAAAAGGTCAATAGCTTCAAAAGTAAAAAGGAGGAGGAGGAAGGGGCTGTGGTAACAGCTTTGTAAGGCTGTTAAACGAACTGGGGTGAACGTAAGTGAGGGACTCCATTTAATTATCTGTATTTACCAAAGCACACAGTAAGCGCCTGATAAATGTTAAAAACTGTTCTGTTCTGGCCTCCAGTTCTCTCTTCCAAACCTTTACTTGTTACATTTGAACACACATTCATCCCACACTGCACATCTCTCCTTTAGAGTCTCCTTATTTGTGTCAGCAAGACCAAGCTAGTGAGCCAGGGAGCTAGTTCAGTATCTTTGTGGTCTGCTAACTCTGTCATGTGCTTACAAGGTTACTTCAGGCCAGTAGAAGGTACCTGGTGTTCTATTCAATTTCCTTTCATTTTCATGCCCTCCGTCCCTCACCCCCAAGCTGTGAGATTTAACTGTTGGGACCTAGAGAGTGAAATGTAATGTACAATCTAAGTTTTAGGGTTAGCTTCATGATTAACTCTGGAGAGGTTGTCATGCGGGTAAAGTAAGAAGTGTTCTCTCTGGGGAGGCAAGACAGTGTAGGGCTAAGCACCAGGCAAGCAACTGTCTAAGGCTGATGTACCAGACGTGTTAGAACCAGTCCGGCCCTGGCATCCCTGCGAAAGAAGTAAGGGTTGGCTACCGGTCCTCCATAGGCCAAGTAAGTAAGTTAGGTAGGTCACAGTGAAAAGCTGAGAGAGGAGATTTACCCGGCCCACAGGAGAAGATGAGAGTCAGTGACCCGCCAAACCCATCTTTGGGATCCCAGCACAAGATTATAGCCTTAAACAGAGGTTATGTGGGTCGTGACCCCTTTGACATGTGGGTCGTGACCCCTTTGACATGGCCCGACTCTTTCACAGGGGTCACATATCAGAAATTCTGCATATGGGATAATTACAATTCTTAACAGCAGCAAAATTATAGTTAGGAAGTATCAACGAAGTAATTTCACAGTTGGGGGTCACCACAGCATGAGGAACTGCATCAAAGGGTCGCAGCGTTAGGAAAGTTGAGGACCATGGGGTTAAGAGGCATTCATCACCAAGCAGTCCCGGCCAAGGTGTGCTCCACCCATTGCTGCGGCCTCAGCTCTAATCTCTCCAAACAACACGAAGCCTCTTTCCAGGAGACAAGCTCCCTGTCTGTCTGACATCAGGCTTCCAGACTTTTCTATCTCCCAGCATGAGATTTCTGGGGGAAATTCCAATTTTGGGGGTCCCATTGTCTCAATCGTCTGATAGCCAAAGGGAGAGGCACCCATGATTGTATTTTGAAAATCTTCAATCCTGCCAGGTTGATTGCCCAGACTCTCACAGAAGCCGGTGGGACCTCAAAGCAAATCATCGAATTCCTCTAAGTCTGTTTCTTTATCTGAGAGCCATGGATGATGACAGAAGCAAAGACGGCACACACAGCACCGGGCTTTACTGTCAGCAGAGATCCTTGCTAAGGACTGAAATGGCCACAGAAACAGAGCTTTGCGAACCATTGAGGAAACACCATTCCGTAGGCCTCCAAAAAAAATGAACACAATTGGCTTGGGAAGAGACCTTGGAGAGACAGGACGGTACATTAAATAAAACATTTCCAGACTGGCTGTTCTCAGTGTGTGCGTTACATTCATCTGAAATAGCTCAAGCAGGCCTGAAGAATACATCTCCAAGTCTTCAGATCACATGCAAGTCTGGGAGGGTCTTCTTGGGAAAAAGGCAACGTTAGCTTTGGAGCTGATCTTGGTCAGCTCCTGCCCTCCCTTACACAATCTCATTCGTTTTGTATGCTTTCCCTCATTCTCTGCACTATACCCACACAGGCCTTTTGGGTTTTCCTCACTCCATCTCCATTCTACCCCAGAAATGAGGGCTGGAGACAGGCTCTAGCTGTTTTGTCTTTAAGCACATAGATTAAAAATTACTTTCTGGGAAGCGGTTCAGCTGGTAAAGATCTTCGCAGAAAGCAGGGTCCCGGGTTTAAATCTCCTGTACCCGCATAAAAGTCTGGCACAGTGGTGGGGAACCTATATAATGCCAGTGCTGGGAGGAGGAGAGAGGAGGATTTGGGGGGATTGCTGGCCAGCCAGTTTAACCAAATTGGTCATCTCTAGTTTCCGTAAGAGGCCCTGTCTCAAAAGGAGTGGGGAGGGCAGATCTGGGAAAAGGCTCAATGGGTGAACCACTCTTCATGCAAGTGTGAGGACCTGAGCCTGTACCTTGAGCACCCAGGTAAACTTCAGGCGGGCATGGTAGCCCAGTCATAACTCCACTGCCCATGAGGTGGAGGCAGGCTAGTTCCAGGGTAAGCTGGCTAGCTAGGGCTGGCTGGGTTCAACCAAGGGATGCTGCTTCAGTCTATAAGGCGGTGATTAAGGATTGACCTGTGTCAATCTCTGGTCTCCACAAGCACATGCACAGACATCCATGTGCGCCCTCACACACATGTGCAACCCCCCTACACAGACACATACACATCACATATACATGAAAAGAAAAAGGTGGAGCGAGACTGAAAACGACACCTGATACCAAACTCTGACCTCTTTGAGCATATCTGCGCGCGCGCGCGCGCGCACGCACGCACGCACACACGCACACACACACACACACACCACAAACAAAGTCATTTTCATATAGCTACTATTGTGGAATGCTTATGGGTGAAGACTGACCAGTGGGCCTTCAAAACCTAGCTGAGCCATTCTGCACTGGTTCTCAACCTTCCTCATGCTGGGACCCTTGAAGACAGTTCCTCATGTTGTGGCGACCCCCCCAGCCATAAAAAGTATTTTCGTTGCTACTTCATAAGTGTAATCTTCCTACTGTTATGAATCATAATTAGATATTTGTTTTCCCTTGTGAAAGGGCCATTTGGCACCCCAGCTCCTTCCCTTGCCTCCTACCCCCACAAAGGGGTCTCAGTCCGCAGGTTGAAAACCACTGCGCTAATGTCACCGCCTTTGTTTCCTGGTTTCCTGATCCACGGGATAAAGGTTTAACACACACAGGCCCTGGAGCAGCCGGGTACTCTATAACTCCCACTCTGTGGTGTCTTCCTTCAGCTCTCTCCACCACCCTGTTGGCTGTGCTGTTTATAGGAGTGAGTGATTAAATAACAAGAAGGCCTAGGCTTTGGGCTATCTGCCTCCAGGAACAAGATGGGTCTTCTTAACCACTAAAGCTCCATCCAGTCTGGAGCATGCTCTCTGCAAAAGGGGCTGCTCAGTCAACCCTGTGGAAGGAGAGCATGCATGTGCCTATTCCTTTCCTAACAACTGGGAAGGCAGCATGGTGCTTTTTGTCATGTAAAGCCTTTAAAGAGCTGGGTGGGGTGGCCCATGATTTTAATTACAGCACTAGAGGAGGCTGAAACAGAATGACAAGTTAGAGACCAGCCTGGGATATACAGTGAATTCAGTATTCCCAGTCTAGACTGGGATACGTAATGAGAACCAACTAAGAAATAAGTAAAGAAATGAGCAAATGTATCACAAGGTGAGCAGTTATTCCTTTTAAAAAGAAAATTGGTGGCGGTGGTGCTGAAGAGATGGCTCAGAGGTTAAGAACACTGGCTTCTCTTACAGAGGACGCAGGTTCAAGTCCCAGCTTCCACTTGGTGACTCACAGCCATCTGCAATTCCAGTTCCAGAAGATCCAGTGCCCCCTTCTAACCTTTGTGGGCACTATAGCCGTGTGGTACACACACGGAGGCAAAAATTTACACACATAAAAAAGCTTCTTAAAAAGAGGAAGAAATGAATAAGACAAAGCAAGAACTGCCTCACATTTGACCTTTAGTGCTTGTCTGCTGGAGTGGAATGCTTATGTCTCCAGGGACACCTGACATGGGCAGAGTTACCTGAGCAACCTTCTATCCCTCCCCCAACTCCAGTACAAAGATGATTCTAAAACCTATGCAGATTTACAGATAAATCCACCAGAGCTGATGGCTGCTCTCATGGTGAGCAGAGCAATTGCTCTCAGGTCCCACTGGGATGATCTGACTCTCATCGAAACACAAGGGCACGTACCGAGAGGGCACTGCTTCCTCTGGATCGGGTATTATCAAAGGTGTGCTTCCTCATCTCAGAGGAGCAGTATAAATAGCCACAGAAGGGAGGTGGCGGGCCCTGCTCTCAGATTCAGAACACTGTCTACGGAATCCTGGTCAGCACAAGAGAGCAGACGTTTAGTCCATTCAAATAAGGGCAGATGCTGCCATTCCACAAAACTGCACTTCTGAGGCATTAGGATGCTAAGGTATGTGCCCTGTGCAGCACCTAGCTGTTGCTACAGAACTATAGGTAGGGTCTTAAAGGTGATGAGGCTTCAGGCCCATTCCTCCCTTGATGGAACTGAGGCCCTTATAAAGGAGGTTCCATTCAGTGCTAGGCTAGCCTGACACCTTGGTCTTTTCTTCCACATGAAGATGCAGTCAAAAGGACCTCACCAGTGTCAGAAGAGAAACAACAGCAGGTTCATTGAAGGGAGATACAGGCAGACACCCTTCAGGAGAAAGAAAGAGAGCCTTACAACCACAGACAGCCATGATCAGGCCTTGTAGTGGGAGAGTATTAGAGGAGATAACTGCCATGGCACATGATGGGAGTTCTGAAGGGAGAGAAGACAAACCCTTCAGTTCCGGAGAACAAAAGGAGTTTCTGACCCTTACCGGCTCTCATGGGGTAAGGCACTCCACACCACGCAACCTAGCCTGGCCTCACCTATGTCCCAAAAGGGCATGGAGGCAGGCAGAGGCTGAGTAGGACCGAAAACTGATCTTGCAGTCACAGGAGGGAGGGCCGGAAGGCCACAGCACAGCTTGCTTGCTTTCCAACTCTCTGTCTGGGAACTGCAGGAGCCTGATGTCTGGGACAGGGAGAAGAAGGGCAGCTAGGGAGTCTGTGTGTTCACAGCAAGGTCAAACCGACACCTTGAATTTGGACTTCCCAGACTCCAGCACAGTGAGAAACAGTTCCTGTTTGTTCATTTTAAAAGAAATTACCCGCTCTCAGGTGCTCTGTTAGACAGGACAAGCAGACTCAGAGACATCTCACATGGAGGCCAAGCACCTGACCTGTCTCAGGGAGACTTGGTCTGTCTCAGACAGCAGAGCCCGGGCTGAGGCCTCTCACAGCATTTTAATATGGTCCAACGAGTTTACAAGGCACCGTTTCCCACACAGGAAGCAAAATGTATAGAGGAGCCTCTTTCCAGGAAAACTTTCCAGAACTTTCATCCCATTTGTTTCAGGTTCAGATTCTTAACATGGCTGAAGACTACATCCTTAAAATGTAAATACCTCCCCACCTTCCCTCAAGCCAACACCAAGCCTGCAAAAGACAGTCCACGACTATCTTCCCCACCTCTGTTTTGTGAATTTCTGCCCAGTGAATCCAGATGAAGGTGCCTCCAGGGTCAAGTAGTCTGATGTGTCCAAAGGACAAAAGGCTGAAAGATGCTTTGACAAGAGCAAGGTGCCAACAGATACACACGTGGATCCAAACCACTGCTTCTCATTCATGCGAACACAAACATTACATTCCCTGACAACCTACCCATTTACTATACCCTCGATCTCCTGGTAATGCCTAGATAGCATTCAGGATACCATTGCCTTTACTTACTGAATTTGGGGCAGATGTTTTTAAGCAAGGTGGTATCCACCACCTACCTATTGAACACATTTTTAATGCCAGAGGGGAGGTAGCTCTACCCCCTCAATATTATAAATGGGCCTTAATCACTCCATCAGAAGCTCAACGGGATCACTCAGTGTGAGAGTAGGAAAGCAGAATTCACACACACACACACACACACACACACACACACACACTCACGCACACACCAACTGCTGTCAACTGTAACCACTCAACATTTCTTTTCTCTCTGTTTCTGGGGGACAGAGCATGTCAAAATCAGAATTTCCAAATGTATCAGAGAGTCCCTGTGTGTCCTATCCGACCTGGCTTGATTTCTATCTAAGTACGCATGATTCTTACGACTCAAATACAGTAGTAGTTACTGCAAAAGGCAGTTTAATCCTTTGACCTCAAAAGCATATTAATTTAATTCTACTTGTCGAAGCTGTCTTCAGTCACTGGCTTTGACGCAGGCCGAGTGGGTAGTGAATGAACTAATAGCAAAGCTGGGACGAGTGGCAAAGGGTACCAGGGGAGTGGCTGTCTGTCTTTGCTCACTGCTGGAGGCTTCCGAGCCTCTGTGGCTCTGCTTGACTCACCTATATTAATTTAAGCCTGACTTAGTAATGGTGTAGAAAGAACCCAGGAAATAGGTGTGGGGTGGTTTTATATTTTTAGCTTACTTTTATTTTTATGTGCATGGGTGTTTTGCCTGTATGTCTATGTCTGTGCATCCCTTGTGTGCCTGGTGCCTGCTGAGGCTATCAGATTCTCTGGAACTGGAGTTAGAGATGACTGTGAGCAGCCATGTGGGTGTCAGAAAATGAGCCGAGGTCCACTCAAAGAGCAGCAAGTACTCTTAACTGCTGAGCTATCTCTAGCCAAGCGCTTTTGTTTGTTGCTTTGTTTTGGGGACAAAGCCTCACTAT